AAAATTGTCCTCACCCACTTCCCCCCTTTTTCCCGCCATCAACTTAGTCCATAAGTAACAGTAGCAGCGACATGAATCTGAAAATACTTTAAATGATTAAGTAAAATAAAGAAAAAATTTCGTGAACACATTATATTTCACAATTCCACAACTACTGTTGTTGTCATCTTGTGTCACTGGAAAATTTTAGAAAGACATATTAAATGGGTAGTTAATTTATAATGAGTCAATTTAAAATGAGCCATTCATCTTCTCCATTGAGCCAAAAAGAGCCATTCACCATGAGTCAATTTAAAATGAGCCATTCATCTTCTCCATTGAGCCAAAAAGAGCCATTCACCATTTTGGCTCATTATAAATTGATTTTCCATTTAATATGTTTTCTAAATTTTTTCAGTGATACAAGATGACAGCAACAGTAGTTGTGGAATTGTGAAATATAATGTGTTCACGATATTTTTTCTTTATTTTACTTAATCATTTAAAGTATTTTCAGATTCATGTTGCTGCTACTGTTACTTGTGGACTAAGTTGATGGCGGGAAAAAGAGGTGAAGTGTGTGAGGACAATTTTATCCTTGTTTATGGAAAGAAAAAGGTATTTTACCCTTGTTTATGGAAAGAAAAAGGTATTTTTATATTTAATTAACGGAAAAACTGACGGAATATGGACGGAAGGACGTCCAGCGCAAAGAAAGGTTGAAATGAGGGCAAAAATGCCAAAAAATGAAAGGTAGGGACGTTTTGTGCCAATTACCCGAATGTTTAACGGAAAAACTGACGGAATATGGACGGAAGGACGTCCAGCGCAAAGAAAGGTTGAAATGAGGGCAAAAATGCCAAAAAATGAAAGGTAGGGACGTTTTCCACAATAGACTTGAAAGGTAGGGACGTTTTGTGCCAATTACCCAATTAGATTTTATCATATTTGATGGAAGAACTGTTGGTTGAAATTTTCTTCATTATTTCTTCATCAACAACAAAAAGTTAATTTACATACTGCTATGTAATTGAGAGAACTGCAGGTTAAGCTAAACAGTGATGATCACCAATCATTACACAAACACACACATATAATATATATAGTCAAAAGAAAGGAAATAACTGAGTTTACTGTGAGTGACATTATTAGTGAATTATACATATATGGTTTTGTTTCAGAACAATCAAGGAGAGGTTGTCTTTGACGGAGAGTGAACGTCAGCCGGTGGCACTCCAGGTCCGGGGAATCCTGGTGTGGGTTGGAAGGGAAATGGAGGGAGAGGAACAAATGGAAACGTCGGTGAGGGTGGTGGTGGAGATGGAGTTAAACCTGGTATTAATGGTGGGAATTTGAAAGACGGTGGCGAAGGTGTAGGGAGAATTGGAGGAAATATTGAAGGAGGGGGTGATGGGAAAATTGGAGGAAGTATGGATGGTGAAGGCTGAAATGGGTTCGGAGGAAGTATGGATGGCGGTGGCAGTAAGGGGTTGGGAGGAAGTATAGATGGTGGTGGCAGCAAGGGGTTGGGAGGCAGTATAGATGGTGGATTAAATGGATTTGGTGGGAAGAAAAAAGAATCAGCCACTTTTTTATCTACTAATTCGGATGCTATTGTAGAGTCCTTGGGCGTTGTTTGCTTTCTGGGCACTGCTGGTGGCGAATTTGGCATTCCTGGAAGTGGTGGCAGGTTGGGGAGCTGGGGCAGAGGCGGCAATGGTGTCAAGATTTGGCCTAATGCCGGTGGATCAGAGGGGGGATCTTGAATTGGTGGTGCAAATGTGGGATCATTAGGATTTGAAATTAAGGACTTCTCAGAATCCAATTCTTTTGAATCCTTGATCACTGGTTTTTGATCACATAGTTCTGGCTGCTTCAATGGCTTGAATGTGAAAAACCCTGCTGAGTAAATGCGTGTCCCTTCCTTTCTTGATTTGAGATGTAAAGAAGAAGAAGTTGCGGTGGCAGCCACTGCACAAAATGGCTCTCCGCTGCTGATTAACTTCACTGAGCATCCCCTGATCTTTTTCACATGTTTGCTCACTGAGAAAGGTAAATTAACCTTGAACTCTCCATGTTCATTTGTTTTCACTTCCTGTCGAAAACCCGGCCTTGAACCTGAGACCTCACATTCTACTGCAACAGATGCACCTAAAATAGAGAAATTCTTGATCAGACATTATTCCTATTAGTGCATACTCATTGACCCTTGACGAGCGTATAGACCGGCATAAAAATGGAGAAGAAGAAGAAAGAGGAGATGAAACCTGAGATGAAGTGAATGGCCTTCGAGAAATCTTGGTGGAAGCATGTGTCACAGTAGACAGTACCGACAACAACTGCAGAATGAAGCTCGTTTTTGTGTTCAGCTTCTGAGAGGTTAAGGAATATGAAACTAAGAAAGATTACAGTCCAAAGACAAGACATTATAAAACCTGCAATCACTCTGGTCTGTATGTAAAACCCTACTGTGTTTTTAAGTATGAAAATTAAAGCTGAAGGACTGGCCTTATATAACGCTGCTGAAACTTAATTGTATATGACAGTACGAGTTGTATTAATATATTATTTCTTGTATCCTTCTGTTTGTCTAAGATGGGAACCATGGCTTTCTCAACCCTTATATAAAGGAAAATTTTAATTTGGGTTCCCTACTTATTGTTTGAATATTAAATTAGTCCTTAGCATTTAAATAAAAAGCAAGTCGGTATCTATTTGCAAAACCAGTCCTTATTGGTGGAAACTGTTTAAATCTCGGTTAAGTCAGTCACATGACTTTAGATGTTCAACTTTATAACTAAAGCTAAATTTTGCCTTTTAACTCAGCTATTTCCTAGAAATTTGAAGCAATGTATGTTTTCATGTGAGACATACAAAGATTATCATGATTTTCGTCCTTGAAAGTAGACATAGATCAACTCGATCAATAATTTATGGACCAATTGCAATTTTCTCTTCCAAAATTACAACCCAGCCCCAACCCAAATCTCATAATGTCATTCATGCAGAAACAAGTGAAATGCAAAAATGAAATTCTCTTGCCTTATCTTCATTTGCTTGGCTGTTTTGGGTTTTATCTAATTTTCTTGAATTATTTATTTGTTGCTTAAAAATAGGTGAAGGGACTGTAGGGGTCCCACGGTTCACGAGAAGCCTACAGCAGCCACAATATTCATGGCTGTATGACTGAGTCCCAATGTGATAACTGAAAATTAGAGTGACAATGCCATATGCATGGTTTTGCATTCTATCCCACCTCACATTTCTTGCCTGTGGATTACCACATGATACTTGTTGTACTAGTTGCTTTGGAACAATTAGAAAATTCTCTAAAAGAAATACGAGATTATTCCCTTTAACCGTTTAAATGAATTCAGGAGAGCTTGATTCATGAATTCCTGGGTACTTTTAGTGCTATTATTTGAGAACGTGTATTTCAGGACTCCGCGTCTGGAAAAATGAGATCTTACCCATTTGATTCGACTTAAAAATTCACTACGAATATGGTGTACATGTCAGGCTTGAAGTCTTACCAGGCCATTGACTTGTGGTTCGAGCATTAATGTGATCAAAAGTAAAAACTTGGATATGAATGATTGAGCTTTAGATTATTAGATAAACTTTGAATTGATCTCTTTGAAATATTTTAACTCGATTCAGTACTCATTCGAAGTTTAAAACATTCACAGGGCATCGTCACAGAAACTCGAGTGACAACGATTTGCACAAATTATTTTGTAGAGTAAAACATGCCAACATTTATAGTTTAGTCGTGGGGGGTCCTCTTTCTTCACGGGTTTTGAAAATTAATCCCAAATGGCATATTCACGGGATTTAATTCTAGAAAAAGTTATCGAATAATAGACAAATTTATGTTTCGTATCTGCCAGGAAATTTATGCATTCTTTTTTGTTTGTTTGCAAGCAATCCAATCCTGAGTTTAGAGCTGAAAAAGCATATATATATATTTTTAATCTTTACTTACTTCAATTAATTAATAGTTGATAATGTACTTTCTAATTGCAACCGTTGCTCTTTAATTTTCTCAAATTTTATCAAGATTATCACCTTGACAGCGGTAAGAATTCTTGTCCCACAGTTTAGTCTGCTTGAGCGGCCACAAAGGCCTCTTTTCTTGCATTTGGCTTCACCTGAGCAATGTAATTTTCGAACTTGACTTTAAAACGAGTCGAATCCTCTTGTTTTCACCTTCTTCTCTTCATTTTTCTTTTTTTTACTTTTTTTTTTTCATGAGTAATGTTCAAGTTGGAGTTTCGTCTTAAAATAACAGAAGTGAAGCAAAAATTAATAGAAATCTAATTCTATAAACTAATAAAAGTTTCGTTCAATGGTCGAGATAAGTGTCTTTTTATACCCGTATTCCAAAAATATTTTCTTGTATTTTTTTTTTATTTTTTGTTTAATTATTCTCTCATTTAGTATGCCTATATTGGCTTGGTTGGTTGGGTAGACTAATTTCGTTGAATTTGCTTTTACGTTATGGCTATCCTTTGTCTGGACGGTATGCTTTCATGTAGGGATGTCAATTGGACTCGTCGGCTCGGGCCTCCCGTGGCTCGACGAGCATAAAGCTCGAGCCATCTCGACTTGAGGCACGATGGAATCGAGCCAAAGCTCGGGTTGAGCCCTATTTTGAGATTCCAGACTTTGAAAGAAAACAAAAAAAAGGCAGCAGCTTGCCGCCTTATTTTAATAAGACAACAGCCTTAAGAAAAGGTGCCAAAAAGAGAGAGAGAGAAAATTGAGCCGGCTCGGGCTCGGCTCGCTAAGGCCCGAGCCGAAAGCTCGGCTCGAGCCTTTTTTTGGCTCGAGCCTTTTTTTTTTGCTAGCTCGATTCGGACTCGAAAAAGCCCGTTTGATTTTATTTGAGTCAAGCTCGAGCCTTGAATTTTGGCTCACGAGCCGGCTCGTTGACATCACTACTTTCATGTAATATGATTTTTGTTTGAAAAAACTCATTCATTGTTCCTCCTTGCTGACAGTGACATGAAAGCTCCAATCTAGGGGCTAGAAATCTCCAAAACTAGATTCGGGCTTCCTTCCTTATTTCAACTCCGATATGACAATTAGTAGAAGAAAATTTGAAATGTGTACAAGAATATACATGCTAGGAAGAAGGCCTCTGTGTAGGAAAAAAAAGCTTCAATAGGACGATCCTATAGGCATATATAGTAGGGTTAATCATTTAAATTGAGATACTTCGTCATCCTAAATGGTAAGAGAAAGAAACAAAGGGAACTTCGGATGTCGAAATGTCATGATTTGAATGATTTAAGGTCTGAGACGTCTAATCTAAATGGTCTCCTATGTGTAGGCATTTCCACGAGTCCATGTGGCAATCATCCATGAAAGTTTAAGAGGACAAGCGTCCTTATACTTGGAATTACGTTGAGTAGAGGGAGTAAAGATCTTATGGTTATAATCGTCTAAAAATGGTCATGTGAACAAAACGAGTGTTTACAGTTATGTATCATAAGTGCACTTGATCTACTGAGCATGGTCCATTGTCATGTGGATCAACCATCTCTCCTTGACTCTTAGGGTGTGTTTGATTACATTTATTTTCCATGGAAAATATCAGTTTTCCACCCAATTTCCTACTTGGAGTGTTTGATTGTTAATTTTTTCCATGGAAAACATTTTCCAACTTTTGAAAATATGCCTAATTTTCCTTGTTTTTAAGGAAAATATTTTCCTTGGGTAGAGGTGGTTTTTATTTTCCACAAAAGATGGAAAATATTTTCTTTTCTAGGTAATATTTTCCATGTCAATCAAACACACTCTTAGTGTTTAGCTATTTGAGTGCATTTTGTAGATGAAGTTGAGTGGTCGATGACATGTCCGGACTCCATTTGTGTCAATTGACTATATCCTTAAGAGTCCTTGTTAGTTATGGCATGTCTCATTTCTCTATCTACCATCCATATCCAGCTCTCGAATCGAGATCGAAATGCTCAATCCATAGAGTTGTATTAGATCCATAATTTTAATATAAGTCATGATTCTCAATTTGTTCTCTAGTATTTCGATCAAGATTCGTAGTTTGGGAAAGAAAATAACGTTTGTAAAATCTATAAAAAAAGGAAAAAATAAAAAAAGGGAAGGAGATGATTGTGGTACGAAGTACTCTTGTGCACTTGCGTCTTTCAGCTTATTGCTCTCACTTTTATCAACTACTCAGAAATACTTTATAAATGCCGTACGAATAATATTTGATAGCAATTTTTTGGAAGGATTTGATGAGTTTTAAACGAACTAAAGAAAATAAAATTTAGCATACAAATTTAAAATAAGAAAATGGTAGCCTCAAAATTCAACTTCAATGATTCATATTTTCTGTGATGATAAGATACTACAAATGAGCAACCTTTTTATACTGCATTTGCTATATAAGAATTAATTATTAATACATGAATTTAAACACTCTTTAAAATTTCTAAATGCTTGAATAGAAATAAATTCATTTATAATAACTCTAGATTCATGTAAATCAAGATTCATCAAATTAAGATTCATTGAAACTATATTAATGTGAATGCTAATTAATTGAGAATCATAACACGAAATTCATACGCAACAAGGATTTTGTAGTATTTATTACATATTGAAAAATAAAACGTAAAGCATTATTGAAACAATTGAATTACAATAGGGTTAAAATCGTCAAAAACATGTTTCTCACTTATTGATATTGAGCACTTGTTTGAGCCACATTTTTCTAAAAGTTCATTTTTTCAAAATTTATTATAAACCATACGTTCTTCAGTAAAAAAAATATTAGACGCAAACTCAAAACTTTTTCTTAATTTTTAACTACACATTCTCCATCAATTTACTATTCAAAATGTTTTCTTTCCCCCAGAACGGGGCTCAAACAAAGACTTAATATATTATGGACTTATTTGAGCCCCAAGTTTTTTAAATGCAATTTATAATAGTATTATGATTGAGAATGTATGGTTAAAAAATAAGGAAAAATTTTAGACTTATGTGTAATATTTATTTTATTGAGAAATGCATGATTGAAATGAGATCAAATCATTATTCAAAAATATATTTTGATAAAAAAAATAGGGCTCAAACAATGGTTATAGATTATAGATCAGCATGTTTTCCCATTAGATGATTGTAGGAATAATTGCAGCAGAGGCCCCAAGCCTTTAATAAATTAGCAGACTTTTCCCAAATCTTTAATTTATTGCAACCATCAAACCAAACCTTTTGAACTATTGCGGAGGATGCCATTTTGGACGGTTTTCATTCAAATGTCTATTAGTTGACTAAGAAATTTGATTTTGACAATATTTTCAATATTTTTGAAAGGATAAAATTGTAACTTTCCATTTATTACATTAAAATAAGTTAGAAACTAAAATAAAAAAAAATAAGAAATAAGAAATTAAAAAAAAAAATCAATCGTCTTCTTCCTCTCACCCCACCGCACCTCACCTCAAGCCCAAAATCAGTGACCGACCACCACCACCGCCACCTCTACCTCC